CAATGGATTACTTGCCAGTTGACCCCATAATGTTGACCATGGGCAGTCTGGTAAACACTTGTGTTCTGGGCACTATACTAGGGCCTGAGGATAGGAAGGAGGTAGCCCTGCCCTTATGACACCTACAGTTTGTAGGGAGAGCCACAAGTACTGTTAAGGAAATAAACCGAGAGCAGTGACCTAGGCTAGTAGGAGCATCTGCACAGGTATAGTGGAAGAACCTCTCTCGGGCCTGTAAGGTGACAAGAAGCCACAATTATGTAAAGGGTAGAAAGGGGGGAGCTTATGGCTGCCTAGGTAGAGGGGAGGTAAGGTCCTATCATGGAAAAGAGCTCAATGTATTTTTAAAATGACAGAACTTCACGTCATGACATGGCAAGGGCTGGATCTTGCTGGGACTTTACAGGACAGGTTGATGAGTTAGCATTTTGTTCTGAGTGAGAGAACAGCAGTGCAGTCCTCCTAACCCATATGGCACCTATGGGTAAATTAGAAAAAGACATCCACCCCGCAAAACATTTCCATCTGCTGGAAAATTATTGTAATAGACTTTTCAAATGAGGTTTGTTTTATTTTCTAAATTGTGGTTTGCATGCCAGTTTACAGAGCAGCACATTAGTTTCCCGTTTAACAATTTATACACATTTTGCTACATGATATTGCAATCCCCTCAGGGTAACAGTACTCTTCCTACTTCCCCCGCTCGATCCCCATTCCCATCATCCTTTCCTGTCCCTTCCTGCCTTGTGAATGGCGTGTTTTGGGCATGTGCTGTCCACTTAGTCTCATATGGTTGATTGTTCTGAGTGGTACGTTCCTTATGGGTGTTCGTGTTCTCATTTAGGCCTATTGTTTGACTGAAAGGTGATCCCTGGTATTTAACTCAGTTCCAGGTTTGTGTTAGTCCAGAGAGACTAGAAAAACAAATTCATAAACACACATATGTGTATAAGAAAGAGGTTTACACTCTCTGAACTAGACAGATCACAGGGAAAGAAATTAAGAAGAAGGCTGCAGATCTAAACAGCACAATTTGATGACTTCACCTGACAGACCTTTTCAGAGCTTTCCACCCACATGCAAAACAATTCACAATCTTTTCAAGTCCCCATGGCACATACTTGAAGATAGACCACATGCTGGGACACAAGTTGAACCTGTGTAAATTCAAGCACGTAGAGATCATACAGACTCCTCTCTCTGACCACTATGCCACAAGGCTAGAAATCAACAAAAGGATGATGAAGAAAACAAGGGCAAACAATTGGAGGATGAACACTTGCCTATTGCAAAAGGAGTGGGTATTGGCTCAGATCAGAGATGAAATCAGGAAGTTTCTAGAAACCAATGAGAATGAAAATACGACGTACTAAAACTTTTGGGACACAGAAAAGGCATTTATCAGAGGAAGGCTGATAGCAATACATGCACACATGAATTGTATGAGCCCCCAGTAAAATGATTTTTTTTAAAAGAAAGAGATTTATATACAAGAGCAATTGAACATTGAGAAAACATCCCAGCCTAGTCCAGATCAAGTCCATAAGTCTGATGTCACCCATATGTTCGATATCAATCTATAAAGTCCTCTTCAGACTCATGAACTACATGCAATGATGCCAAACGTAGAAGATCACAGACCAGTGGGTAGAAAGTCTTTGGATCCAGTGTCATTGGAAACATGTCAGCACTGGCAGGGGTCTCTGCATCAGGATGGGTCCATGTGTCTTGTCAGCTGCTATGTCTCCCACATCCAAGGAGGAAGTACTGGATTTCCCAGAATTCTCAGAAGGCCATGCCCACACAGAGGCCTCATTGGCTATGATCTGATTGACAAGATAGACTCCACCTCTACACTCTTAATCCTCAAATTGATGATTATATATCTACCACAAAGATCAACAAACAGGAGTCTATTGGACTGTTATACACATCAGACAATATCACAGAAGAGGCGATTAAAAAGGTAGTACCCTTTACAACAGCCAAGCACAAACTGAAATATCTAGGGATATATGTACCTGACTAAAAAGAAAAGATTTTTACGAGGAAAACTACAGAACACTATTACAAGAAACCAAGAGTGACCTGAACAAATGGAAGACAATTCCATGCTCATGGAATTGCTTCTTTATGGCACAGTTCACCATTGCAAGGTATTGGAAACTACCCAAATTTCCATCAATGGATGAATGGATCAAAAAACTGTGGTACATACATACAATGGAGTACTATGCATCGCTAAAAAGCAGCGATGAACACATGAAGCACATTGCCTCATCGGAAGAACTGGAGGAAATCATGCTTGAACTATTTATAGGCTTTTCCATTTTTATCAGTGGCTCTCTTTTTGTTGTTATTTTGTTTTTGACTTCCTTCGTTATTTTGTTTAGCTTTGCCTGGTTTTTGCACTTATTAATGTCTGTGCATGTCTATGTAGATAAGATAGGCAGGATAAACAATTTAGAGATGAAAAGAACGGG